TGAGTTAAAAAGAAAAATCAATCTTATGTATATGGATCACACTAAATAAAGGTTCATCTAAAAACTAAGTTTATTTCTATCATAATGAAGATATATGCCCCTTCAACTCTTCCTTATAAGTCATACTCTGTAAGGGTTGATCAAAACTATGAGCCTATCAAATATAGAAAGATGATCGTTGATGGAAAGTTATTCTAAAAACTTCAAAAGAATTGTTAAATTGGTTTCTGATATAAAAATAAACCATTGCACATACTCAAAACAACCTTAATAAAATCATAATGACCTTAATTGTGAGAAAGTCCTTATCATGATAATGATGTAAAAAAGATCAAATTTATGCTATAAAGATCTCATAAGAAGTAATCCTTTTTTAGAATAAATTTATCATCATTTCTATCAGAATAGTTCTTTGATAAGTAATCAAAATGAAAATTTAAAGTGGGGCATCAAAATGAAGAATATAAGACTATCACTACAAGAAATTTCATAATTACAGACAAACAAAATTCGTGGATAATTCAAAAAATTCGTGGGTAACACTTTATTTTTGACGAATTACAGACAAGTAATAATTCGTCGGTAAATTGCTCGTATGAAACATTTACCGACAAATTTTCAGCTGTGGGTAACTTTTTAACGACTTTACCGACGGATACATCCCTAGATATTTTTGATAATATTTTTAAAAAAATTATTTTAAAATTGTATTAAATAACATTCTTATTTAGTGCAACACCTCTCAGATCTGACCTTTCAGGAGCTCCACTCCATGACACTTCACGCAATTCCTCGTTGGTTAGAACTCTTCACCGGTCAAAACCCTTCATGGGTAGCTCTTTTCGAGATACTGTTAAGTTCTTATGGAATAAGCTACCAAAGAGTAGATACATCTTATTGACATAAATAATACAAATTAATTCTTTTAAGTCATCTTCTTCTATATAATCTCATACTTGTACAATCTTTGAATCTCTCTCATTTCAATATATTTCACAAGTTACAATATAATATAATACTGTAATTTTTATGTAAATTAAAAAATACTAGTATTTATCTGTGTATTTCACAAGTTATATTTTTATTATATATAATTAAAATTTATAATAAATTATATATTAAAATAAATATTACAGTTAAATCAATAAATCATATTTAAAATTTGTATAAATATAAATTAAATTAAAATTAGTAACTAATCAAAGAATAATTAACTTTTATATATAAAGCACAAATATCTTTCTTGTGCCATAGCGTTTTTAGAAACTTTTCTTTAACTAGAAGAATTTTATATATTTTTTTAAAATTTTTATCTAATTTAGTTTTTATTTATCATTATTACTTATAAATTAATTTTATAATTTTTAACATAAATTATTAATAAAAAAATAATTACTCACGGATATATCTGTCAATAATTACCCACGAATACATCCGTAGGAAAACATAGGAGTAAGACAGGTGAAGTTTAATCCCAACAGTTTTTCTTGCTGTTATCCTTAAATTTTACACTTTCTTTCTATTGATGTTTTCTTTACAATTTCAATATTGTAAATGTAAAATAATATTTTTATATTCAATGTACATTTTTTTTCAAGTTTTAGTTAGGATAATAAAAATTATATTATAACAAAAGAAACTAAAAGGTTAGTGGGGGAAACTAGCCCCACACCACATAATTAAGGTAGATCCATCCCTGACCACAAATGTGTGTCACCATCTATCCCTCATGACACCATTAATTAATATAAATAATATAATTTGTGGAATAAGGAAAACATGCAAATTTTTTTAAAATGTTTTCTTAATATTGTAAGGAAAGGGATTCATATCCCAATTAAATTGAACATGAATGATTAATAACAAAAAACTAGAAGCAATGAAGTTTTGACACTACTTCAATGGGTCACTGATAAGTGTTGTAATTTTTTATTTTTTATTTTATCTTGTGGTACATTTTGAAGTATTTATCCAATTTTCCTTGACTTGAAACCTTGATTTATCCAAAATTTAACTTAAATTTGTAGAAAGTTAACTTTAGTCTTTAACTTACATTAGTAGGTAATTTGCAATTTTTTTATTTATTGTTATTTTGTAGTTGAGAAGAAGCAAATGATAATTGGTGAAGATTCAAGAGAGAATAAATTTTTGATTAAGTTTCCATTTTCAACCTCAACTTGACAGAGAATCATTTGAGCAATTTCTGTCCCACGCTGAGCGTGGAATCCATGTTTAGTGCCATAGTACTAGGGGCTTTGTGTTGGTTGATCCTTGTCCCATACTATGTATGAAAACTCACTCTTAGGGCTAGAAGTGTTGATATGTCATTATTGAGATGAGATAAAAGGTTTTATGAACTAAGTGGGAGATATTCGAGAATAATCATAAGAGAACCTTTCTTCGAGAGTGTGTGGCGACTGGAGAGCTCTTTATCCTTCAAGATCAATCTTCCTCTTTTTTTCATCATTTGTAGTGTTCTACATGTCTATGTGTAGCTAAATTCTCCCTTGTTGGGGTTTGATATAACCTAACCCATTCATGTATACTTTTTAAGTTATCAATCTCAATTGTTATTCATTTTTATTACTCTATCTTCTTTACTTAATGCTTGTTATGGTTTGATCTCCCTTAACTTGAACCTTGGGTTTTAAAGTGATTAGAAAATACTTGTGAACCTTTGAACTAAAGTAGAGAAACTAATGGTACTTATTTCTAGGAATGGAGTAAATGTCATTAGTCTTTATTAAGCTCTTGCTTTTAAAGCTGGTTTCTTGGTTAATTTATTCAAAGAATTGATAAATTAATTAAAGAGCTTTGATTCCAACTTATAAGGAACTTAGGGTTGGTTATACTTGTGAGTGATTGATAAATTTTGAATTATAACTAGTTTGAGCTTGTTTGTAAACATGAGAGGAAAGTTTGGTGAAGTTGAACCCTAACATATCTTTCAATATTATTATGTTAAAATCAGATTTTACATTCTAAGTGTTTGTAAAATTCCAAAAAGACTTCTCATAACATTTATCTTGTTGAAGCACTTTATTTGTTGCAACCAATCAATATTTTCATTCGCGATAGCTTAATTTATTATAATTAATGGTTTTTGTCAAGTATTGTGCAAGTTCCTTAGGAGATGATACTTATACTTTTTATTGAACTATTTGTATGATTTGGTACACTTGCCAAGGAGAAAATAGTCACCCCTAAATTGCATAATTCATCCAATTAAATCAAAACTCAATTCCATCGAAACCTAAAACTATAAAAACTTATGACAACAATTCAAATCTAATCTCAAACATTCCAAACACATAGATAGATCACATGAGCTTTAGTGTGTTTGTAACTTATATAGAAGATATGTTAGTAAAAAAGCAATAAAACATATGAAGTTAATTAAGGACCAACTATACAACCCACAATTTGATTCATACCTTAGCAAGATAATTTACTCCCCTTTACCTAAAAAAATTTCCTTTACAATATGATGACGATCCTCATACTTTTATTCCTTAAATGACAATTCTATAACATTAAGGTTCCAAGAGTCAAACAAGATAGTGTGTGTGTCTTTGTCATGGCATAAGGACAAAGAACTCATCGCATAGTCCTTAAACAAGTTACCAAAACTGAAGGGAAATTCTTTTTGCCTAACCTAACACAAAAAGTGGCTCAAAGCCATCAACTAGTATTAGTCCAATTAATAAATAAGACTAATGGTCCTCCTAAATTTTATATCCACACATAATAGAAATATTAAAATCAACACATAATTGTTAATGAAATTTAATGAACAAAATGACCAAGATTTAGCAAATTTTGTCACTTAACTTCCAAAATTTCATATTTTTTCACTCAACTTTTAAAATTTCACATTTTTCTACGTAGATGATTGCTGATGTGATATGTTGATTGTAGCATGGCTCATTGATTATTGATATCACATTATTCCACATCATGATCATCATGTGTATGCCATGCCAACAGTATAACATGCCATGTAAACAGTTAACTAATGACATCAATAGTAAACTAATAGGGAGACAAAATGTGCAAAATTTTAAAAGTTGGGTAGTAAAATATGCAATTTCAAAAGTTGAGTGGAAAAATTTGAAAAAATATGAAAGATGGATAACAAAATGTGCAATTAAGCTTTTATTTAACTAAATTATCAAAGTTTATAATGCAACAAACTTTTTACATTCAAAAAGCCTTCCTTGATAACCTAACCCTAGGATGCTCCTTATCTTTTAACTCTAATTATCCATTTTGAATCTACCTTAAGGTACCATAAGAAAAACTGTCCAAATTGATGCATTTTTTAGGTCCCCTAGGTTGGGCCTTTTCCACTTGAATATGCAAGTGTACTATCTTTAACTCTTCTTAATTACTTTAGCTTGAGTTGAATGTACATGTTGATCAATATGCTCCTTTAGGTTTCTTTACTCTTCCTCTCATAGATGATCTTAGTCCAATCATAAGCTCATCCTTTTTAAATCTTCTCTTCTTAGGTACTCTTAGCTCAATTGAGGAGCCCTTTCTTCTCATAAGCTCTTCCTTTACTCGAACACTTGCCTTGATCTTCATCACCGATATCTTCATAATCTTAAAATAACCCTATATTGTTAAACTTGGTTATTATGCAACATTTTCCAACTTTTACCCTCATACAAAAATCTAAAATATTTTTTTGTTAAAAATTTTCATTCACAAGACAACGGAAATGTGATTATGCAATTACATAGTTGCAGCCTCCTCAGATTAATTATATTGTTGCGCAGCACAACCTTTAAATTGACGAATTTCATTCCAGATTTGTATATAATTAATCTAACGTGCATAAGATAAATAAGAATGTGAAATACATATATAATTCGTAACACAAGTTTCAGTTTTGGCAGCTTACCCTTCTAGTTGGCTTAATAAATTTTTCTCTTGCCCTAATTATCCCAACATATTATGCATTAATTAACCCACGTGTCATTAATTGTTACTCAGGATTAAGCATAATATCCAGCTTGTTCACATTAATAAGGGAAATCAAGGTCTATTATCATCATCAATCAGTACCTCTTTATGACTCATACATGTAGAATACCAAAGCACTTAAGCTAAACTAACAACTTAACTAGGATACATCTTAGATTAGAGCTTTTTCATACAGACACACATTTTCAACATTTCAAACCATGGCAAACCCAAACCATATCATCTAGACACTTCTGGTGTAACTAAATAACTAGCCAAAACCCTGATTTCCAAGATCATATTATACAATACATTAAGTTAAGGCTTTCCAGGAGATTTTGGATCATGGGCTGGATTTGGTCTTGTTCCAGGGTAGTCTACAATATCCACCATCATTCTACTCTCTACAATCCCTTCCTTCATGTCTTCCTTGCTATTCATTAACCCCATAACTGGATCCTCCTGCAAGTTAAAACATATCACTACTATAAATGATTGGACTTGGACAAGAGTATTCATTACTATAATCTATCATAAGAAAAAAGAAAAAGAAAATAGCACTTATCAGCTACCGATGAAATAGTAACCGCGTAGATATGACAGAAGGGAAACGGCCATATATATAATTTGGGTTATAATTTGTTGAATTGGATAATTTCTTAGGGAAATCAAAACTTGGAATCTTGCTATGAACTTTTTCTTTTTATTTTTTCTTAAGATAATAATTTCAACTATTAATTAGTAAAGACAAAAAACGGGTTTTGTCAAGTAGTTAGGGCACAAGACATGACCATGTCCCCTTCCAGGTTAATTATCTTATATAGATCTTTTGTTTTTGTTTGTTTTTTTTTGGAATTTCTGGGACATATATGTGGCACGAATATCTTTCCTTGAGAGAAAAAATTAAAGGAATCTGAAAGGAGAGAGAGAGAGAGGACCTTAGCCAGATGATCTTGCACTAGAGGATCCATTTTCCCAATCATGGAGCTTCCTATAATTCACAATTTAACATGATGAATCAGATTCATAATTAATCCTCAATAAATACATTAACAAAACCAATAAGGGTTCTGCATCAAACCCTTGAAACTTACTGGTTGCAGGAACAGCAGCAACAAAAACAACGTAGGAAAGACCCAGAAGAATAACAAGAAGCCTAAAGAGGGTTTTTTTCTCCATGATGATATTAGTGTAGATATTTAGAGAAAGAGAGAAATATGTTGAGAGATTGAAAGAAAAGAGAAGACTAATTAAGAAGAGCAAAGCTTTGTGAGATGACCTAAGGGAAGGGCCAAGAGGGTCCTTATATGGAGGGGCAAGGCTAGCACTCTTGAATTAAATATCACTCAAAGAATAAAAACAACACTGCCATTTGCATTATAACAAAGCAATGTGTACGGAATAGTTTAATGCTTTTGGGTTTTGTCCAACTTTTGAGTCTTAATTTGCAATGTTTTTAATTATCAAGATAAACTAAAAATCAATTAAACATATTTTAAAAAAATCGATTAAGTAAATTAAGCTTCAATGCTTGATAATTAAACTTTTATGATTGTTTTCATTTTTTTAAAAGCTCCTTCTTGTTAGGCAGTCTTATTTCTTTTGTTAATGAAATATTAATCTGGAACTTCATTTTGATCTCCTGTCATGCACAATTTAAATTGGCGTCTTTACTTAATTTGTGGAATACACTAGGGACTCTCCAATTAATGTATATGTACGGAGAGGCATAAAGTACTGTATAAATGGCATTAATTTGTTTATATCAATGTGATGCATAACATTCACGTAAAATGTATAACACTCCATTTAATTAAGTTGGTAACAAACGGTTTTTACTATGATTTAACGCCCTATATGAACGTTGACAAAGCTACTACGGTCGATCGAGAATATATACAAGTTCTTTTGCTTTCAATTATTATCAGCTCAAAGATCATGTCATATTGGACTTATCAGAAGTCATATTCAATGGCACAGAATTGAGTTGGAACTAACAAAAGTCAGCTTTGCGCGTGATGTATACAAATGCTTTTCACTACGCATGTTTTTGAAATGACATGCTTATTTTAGTAGTCTTCTGGGTTAGTTACCACTTACACTAGATATTGGTAGTTAGATAATTAGATCATGTATCATTTTAAGCAAAATCCTCATTATAATAACCGGTGAGAAAAAAGACACAATGTGTCTGTATTAAATAACAATAATAAGTTTATTCTTATAATTTATATGATTATTAGAGGTTATGTATTATTATTAAGGATAAAATGAGAAAGATAAAAATGAAAACCAAATGAGAGAACCCCTTTCATTATTAGCATAGAAGTATAAATAATTTATACGGTTATCAGAGGTCATGTATAGTTATTAAGGGTAAAATAGAAAAGATAAAAATGAGTATCAAATGAGAAAATTCCTTTTATTATTAATATAGATACTAGTGAAATTTGTGAATATTGTGCGTGAAAGTTACAAAATTGAAAAAAAATTATTTTAGATAAATAATAATTTTTTTATTTAAATTAATAAAATAAAATAAATAAATTGTCTTATACTAAAAGAAGAAAGAATGTACCAAAAAAATACTAAAAGAAGAAAGTGTGGTTACCAAAATAAATAAAGGGTAAAAAATATATTTAAAAATTATCAATATTTATTAAATCAATTAGTATTATGCTTATTCCTTATTAAACCTTAAGATTCCAGTCTCCAATTTTATGTTTGTTAGGATAATTATTTTTTAATATTATTTTTTATTATTTAAACATTTAAAGATAAAATCTTGTAAAAAAATATGTACACTAAATTAGACTATCCTTTTATATATACATATTATAGATTATGATATTATAGATTACACATTTTGGTTTTAAGAAAGTCTAAGAAAATTAAACATCGAACATATGGATCCCATTAAATTAACTAAACGTATATATGTAAGTATATTGACTATCTTGAATATAACACTTGGTCTATATAGTCAGAAAAAAAATAAAATCTAACATGTGATAAATATGAAAGATTAATAGTATAAATGTTGCTTAAATAGCATTGCCGTCCAATTATTAGGTAGAGCCCCTCAAGAGAATAAGCTGCATAATTGACTTCCCCACGCTACATTAACAATTTGGCCCAGATACCAAATCTTGGTTAACTTTCATGTACCGGGTAAAGCAGATCTAACACTCGTTTCATTCCCACTTTAGCTTTAACATTCTTATTGTGATGAAAAAGTTTGCACATATAGCGCATGGAGGAAAAAACAAACACATTAACTTTGCTGTTCTTCTAGGTCCTAAACGTTCACGATATCTAAATGAGGTTATGAAGAAACTTTAATTAGTGAGATTTCAATAATTGGCACTTGTTAGGGTAACACACGAAGGGATGACACATAGCATGGTATATATATATTGCAATGAACAAAGTGTCTTTAAGAAGTGCAGGTTCACCAAATAATAGTGGTGTATGTACGAAAGTGCAATCTATTATCCCAGGTGTCAGCAGGTGTTCCTTTTTTTGAAAAGATGATTGAGTGCGTTGGTAGGTAGGGGTTAAGCACCCTTATGGGTATCATCATCTTGGAAAAACAACAAAGATATAGATTGTTGCTCATCAGGGTATCACTTCTGCCATGAATGTGAGTCATTCCCTTCGGTCCCTCGTTTCAAGAATCTCATTATGGTTTGCCATAATGGGCCTACATCCGGGCTTTCCACCTGCCCAGTTTGTATGGCTAGGACCCAATCGTTATAATATAAACTGGAATTTTATATCCCCATTCCCCTTTCCTTTTTTTAATTGATTTTCAGAATCGTTGAGATACAATTAAAGTCTCGCATCAATAGAATAAGAGAAGGAATATGAGTTTATAAACATATAAATATCTCTTCAATTGTATGAAATATTTTGAGTGATAACTAAAAATAAATTTATGATGATTTAAATTCAAAGTGAACAATAATACATTCAATGTGGAGATGTGTATCAACCCTGTGGTATCATTGAACAGGGCTGACCCCAAGCATAAAGCAACCCACGACCTAGTTTTAGGCCCCAAAAATATTTTTGGTCAGCCCTGTGTAAAATAGGTCCCAAAAATATTTTTTCTACTTATAGAACTTAATGAATTAATTGTATAAATACTAACTTTGGTTTGTTAGTCATTGTCTAAGCCTAATACTGTAAGGAATTCTAATATTGTAATTTTTTTGCAGAAAGTTTTTTTTTATGGGTGACGGTTAATTTTCTTGTCACTCTCTCATTTTTAAACTAGGCTCACTTTCTTATTAATTCCTCTTCTCCCGCTAAATCAGACCCAAATTTTTAATGTTATTTATCCACTTTTCTATTAATTCTTCTTCCCCACACTAAATTAAGTCCCAAATTATGAACATTCCCACTTTCCTATTAATTTTTCTTCTTTATTGACTAAACTTTATTCTTCATCTTCTCTCCCTGTCTCTTTCCCTTTGTCTTTTCTCAATCCCTCTCTTGATAATTTCATCTGCCCCATTACCTCGATTATAACACAAAAACATTTCTACAATAATATAACATAAAAACACAACTGGGGAATTTCCGAAACTGCAAAAGGTATTCAAATAATTCACTATTTTATTTTTTTTAGTTTCAATCGTTTATTAGAATTAATTTTACAGTTTATTAGAATAATTATGTTATCTTTATGTCTTATGTAAGTTACGTTTAGTTTACTAAGTTTAGATAATTAGATTTTAAATAAAATTAAAATAAATTATTGTTATTGATTTTAAAAAAACCTAACTCCAAAATTCGCTTTAGGCCTCAAAATATGTTGGGCCGACCCTGTCATTGAAAATCTTCGATAATGGATTCATTTATGGAGAGTCTTCCTAGTAATATCGGAGAGTCATGAATTTTTTATATACCCACATGTATTTGCGAATATTTATTAAAATGTAAAATTTTAAATAAGCATATAAAAAATAATGTTGTAACATATATTTGTACTAAAAATAAATGATTATGATACATATTTATCGTAAAATTAAATTAGACCAAATTAATTTATATTTAATTAAAATATTTTTAATATTTTTAAAGTGTGGGTACTCACCACAAGTACGAGTAACTTACTATCAATCCTTACTCCATTATTAAGTGGGCAACCATTTAGTTATTCATTTAAGATATATAGTGGAGTTTATTCGCAATTACATATGGGTACTTATTTTTTTGTCATCCCTAATTGTTAGGATATAATCAAAGTCTCACATCTATAACAAGATGAGGAACATGGAAGTGTTATTTGTTTTTTGATAACAATATTATTGCTTTAAATATTCATCAATTTCATACTAATTTCTAGCAGAAAATCTTACTAATGGAAGTGTTTATTTTTGGTTTTGAAAACTAAAATCCAAAAATATCTACTTATTTTCAAAAATAAATCCTAGAAATTAGTGTTTAAAAGAACATTGTTTTTTGACAAAATAATTTTAACATCCTCATAATTTAGTTTTAAAAAACTAATTTCAATAAATTGATGTTGAAGTTTCTCATAAATTTTTGTGGGATACAATCAATTGTGAATTTTATTTTGTCAAAAATAAACTAATATTATGATTCATTTGATAATAATTAAACTCACTAAAAAATATGATCAAATATAATGAGCATTGGGCATTTAATGCTGATTTGTATGGAAAATAGTGTAGGTCTAACCTCAAGATCCATGATGAGAGGTGCCTAAGGTTAATTAATAGCATGGTTAGGTCCTTTTTTGTCGTCATGACATACAATTGTTATCTAAGTTTTCCCATTGAAAATCCATAATATTGGAGCATGTGATTTGTCAAAGGAAGACTTGGTGATGCTTCTTTTGTTTTGGCCTTTTGGGATTTGAGATTCACAAAGACAAATCAAACCATATACTTGGGTTATCTCAAAAGGCTTGCGTTGGTTGAATCTTGAAGAGATTTAATATATAGACTTTTAAACTTGGAGATGTTCTAGTCATAAAATGTGATAAGATTAATAATGATCATTGTCCTAAGAATGGCGTTGAGCAAGTGTAACATTCCTCATATTTGACCTCTCAACAACTCTACTCCACAACACTTAATACGGTAACACTTCACATAATTCCTTGTTGGTTAGAACCCTTCGTGGATAGCTTTCTTTGAGATGTTCGTCTGCTTTTAGGATTAACGACTGATCCTGCAAACTAACACAAGATTTTTCAATATGTTTTGTCTCTACTTACACACTTTTTGAGAAACTTCCCAAGAGGTCACCAATTCCTAAATTACTCCAAGTCAAGTATGCTTTA